AAATCCATGCAAATTTAATTCCCCAACCAATTAGCATTTCTTTCTGGCATGGGAATGGATTAGATTTTCTGTTTTCCATTAAACTCTGAGAAAGCAGATGTGTTCTTTTATACAATCAAATGCACACAATAGTATAGAAAGATAGGAAATTGGTAGCAACATGCAACAGCTGAATATCATAATGAAATGTTGAATCCACTGTTGTATAAAATAAACCAGAAAGGTAATTTTATATGAAACTTTATTCCTGAATAGTTGAAGCTGGCTGCGAGTGAGGCAACTGGTCCATCTTGACCAATGCTATTAAATCACATTAGTGTAATTTTCATGTGATTGATTTCTCAGCATTACTTAGCCTTTGTTGAAGCTAGTCCACATTACTTGTTGAAGGTGGTTGGCTGGCGTGTAGTGCAAATTCAGGCCATATTGCTAGTTTATTATTCCATATGACTTGTACATTTTGACTATCTGCCTAGATACCTGTGATCAGAGGGCTATCCAAATAGCCCTATCCATACAAAAGGCTAGAAGAAAACAGTTGATAGAATTGATTTTTTTGTACATGAAACATGGAATCTGCCAAACAGCTCCTTACATAAGTCAAATGATAATGACCCATAATTTAGTTTAAGACTATGTCTTAATTTGGAGTCTTAACTGATCACTAATATGTCTAAGAATCCTCCTTTGACATCTACCCAACCGCACTCTTTCTCAGAACTGTTCAAAAATTTCTTTCATTTAAAATAAATGCATGAAAAGCTGGCAAGCTAAGATTAAATGTTGCTTTCCCCCACCCACACATGTGGAAGTTTGGTGTGTTTTGTTTTCCCTATGGATGTGGGTCCGTCAACATTTTGCCTTTAGTGAAATTTGTATTTTGATATATTTTGTGGGAAAGAAAATGTGATTTGGCATTTAGAGTTCATATTCTACCTCTGGCTTTTGGTCCCCTAGAATAGATGAGAGGGGGCTTTTAGGCCATTTAGCCAAATCTCCTACTTAGTACAGGGATCCAAATTAAAGTGTTCAAAACATCTGACTGTCCCATTCTTCTTGGACACATCTGGCCCAAAGGTAACACTCAGTGCAGAATAACAAGATTACAGCATGTGTCTCATAGCCATTGTTGATTCAGGGCCATCAATATGGGTGGCAGATGATGATTTTTTTTTTTGTGAAAATAACACAAATATTATTAGCTTGGAGGTCTTACTGTAAATATTTTGTTGCCTTAAATATTTTTCTAGAAACCTTGATATGGCAAACATGAATGATGTTACAAGATCTGCATAAAAATCATACATAAAGGCAAATTGGGGATATCCTAATGTCCCACAGTTCATTGAAAAAGAGCTTGGACTATTTATAAAGAAGTACAATTTTAGACACATTACAATCAGTCCCTGCCATTCACAAGCCAGTGATGGAATAATAAAAGTAGTTCAAATTATGAAGTAAATTCTAACATTACAAGCTTTGTTAAGTTATAACTATGAATCCCATTTCCAATGTTGTAAATAAACATGCACCCTAACTGAATCAATGTCAAGCAGGTCTATGCATCAGATGCAAAAGCAGCCTACAAATTTCACTTAGAAGACATCACAAAGAATATGCTTTGTCAAAGGCACAGTCTTAACCAAAAATTGTGTAGGAATTTCAATGTTATTATCTCAAGAAGAAGAGAGGCAACATTAATAAAAGCAGAAGACATTTACAGTTAGCACATACTGTAAATCTCCAGAAACAAGGTTAAGAAGGTAAATGTGGCAACTGATGGAAATACTAAGTTAATGTACTACTAAGAGATAACAATAGCAATCTAATCACACCATCAGATTTGTGCACCTCATCTTTAGGCATAAAACCTACAACTTCTAGATGCAGTCCAGTATGAAAGTTTGCATGAAACTAATTTATGCTAATAGAAATACCACTGCTTATTCTGGCAGAATAATCTTCAAATTTATTAGATGTGATTGCCAGCCTATTCATCACCTCAGAGTTAGGACACTGAAAACATGCATGTGATTTACTGGGTTTTTGAAGGTTACATAAAGATCATGATTGAATGGAAAAAGCAATGTAATGAAATCTGCTTCTAGTTAGTGAACAGGGGAAGAAGAAGAAGAAGATTCCTGGAATAAAATAAACTGCTGGAGAAAGTGTTCCAATTATGAAAAGCAAATTAAGATATGCAAGCAATTGTATAATTTTGTCCTTGTAAATAAATTAAGTTATTGTTGTTTAACGGAGTCAGGTCATTTTATAAAACCCAATCAGTTGTTTTATTTTGTTGCATGCCAGCTTCCTGATTCACTTTTTTAAATGAAAAGAAATGTTAAAAAATTCAGTAGGTCAGAGAATATAGTAGGT